GTCGGAAGCAATGGCGAGATGGGGACAAAAAGTTCAAGCAAGTGGAGAAAGAGCTAACGATAGTGGACGAGTGTGTGGTACGAGGAAGTCGGGGAGTGGTGCCGTCCAGATTGCGGGAGGCAGTAAAGGCAATGATCCATGCTGGACATCAGGGTATGGAACGAATGAAACAATGGGGGCGGGAATACGTATGGTGGCCTGGCATGAATAAAGAAATCGAGAATATGGTGAGAAGTTGTGAAATGTGTAATTCATGGGCAAGTATGCCTCGAAAGGACAAGAAAAGTATTTGGCCTAGGGCTACTCAACCATGGGAAAGAGTACACTTAGACTTTTTCGACTTCGAAAATAAAATATATCTCCTCGTAGTGGACGCTTACTCAAAATGGGTAGAGTATCAAGAAGTAAAGGGGTTAACAACGCAAGTAGTAATTAAGACGTTAAAAGATCTTTGGGCAAAGTTTGGGGTAGCGGAAATAGTCGTGTCGGATGGAGGACCCGCTTTTATAAGTAAACATTTTAAAGTTTTTTGTACTGAAACTGGGGCGAGACACATTTTGGCGCCTCCTTACCACCCAAGCTCAAATGGGCAGGCGGAAAGGATGGTGGCGGTGGTAAAGAGTTGGTTGAGGAAGTCGAAATATGGGGGTGGAGAGATTTGGATAGCGATTGCGTATTATAACAATAGTCGAAAGGGAGAGGAATTGTCCCCAGCAGAAAAGTTTTTGGGCCGTAGAACTCGTATTCAGTTGGATTTCAAAAGACCCAAACCGGCGCAGGAGGAAAATTCAATGGATAATCAGTGTGAATTTGTGAATGGTCAGACCGTATGGGCGAGAATTTTTGGAGGTACCCGAAAATGGGAGTCAGGAATAATTATACAGAACATGGGGCATAAAATGGTGAGAGTAAAATTCGTGGACGGAAAGGAAGGAGTTAGACACGTAGAACAGATACGGAAGAGAGTAGAGTCTGAAAGATTGAGATCTAGCCATGATGCGGCGAGGAGAGAGGGATAGATATCTTAGCAATTCTCGAGTTAAAGCACATAGAAAATAATAATACTAATAATGATAATTAACCCAAGATGATAATACCTCCGCAGTTCCGAGATTAAATCAAATTTAAAAAAAAACGATAATGATAATTAACCCGAGCTAGTAATACCTCCGCAATTCCGGAATTACATCACATTAAATGTCGGGGAGGCATCGGTGCATATATTGGGAGAATTTAACCGTTAGAATAAGTATTTACCGAGGACATGTTAATGAAGATGGGCGACCAATCTCGCCTTCGATTTACCGAAACATAATAGACCATTCGCCTCCAATACGCCGAAACAGTAGATCGCCCCCGGTCCAAAGGGGAGTGTCCGGAATAATAACGAACAATTTAGATCACTCCGAATTACCGGAGCCCCGGCACCTCAGCATGCGCTCGAGGAGGAGACGTTCTTGTTACTTGTGTGGTTCGCCTAGTCATTTGCGAATGCGGTGCCCCCGTGGGCCAAATCGTAGGCAAGACTTAAATGATAATAGGGAAACGACGAGCCACAGAAGCCGAAGCCCGGGAAGGAGCGACGCACGCCCAGTTAGGACCATTTTGCCGCCTTTGACGATAGGGGCAATGCCGCAACAAGATCAATCCATAACTGCGATGGGGCGACCGGTGGGGATTATTGAGCCGTTTCGAGAAGAAACGCCGGAGGCGAGTCCCAGGGCCTATTACGCTGAAGAGTGGCCGATGGTTGATTTGTCGGCCTCTGAGATTCAGGAATTGTTGGAGGATGTAATGGGACCAGAATAAATTTTACAAATTTTGTAATAATAAAACAATTTTTTTTTAAATATCATTTTCCTTAATAGATTTTCGGGAATAATTAAAATACGATATTAATATATGTAGTAAAACTTTTAAAATATTTTACATCATATATTTTTTTTTTATTTATGTTAACATATGTAGAGAATAATAAATAATTACATTTTGATTTTATGTACAAAACCCCCTTGTTTATCTTTGTTAAACAACAATTTTAATTTTTTTTTGTATGTTCAAGGGTTTTCATTTAATGGGGGCGTGTTATAAATAGTTTTATTATTTTTTTGTATGAGTCATGAAATATTTTTTTTGTTTGAAATTTTATTTTTAATATTTTTTTTGTTTCGCGCAGTCATCTTGAACGTCATTATATAAATATTTTTAATATTTATTATGTAAAAAAATAAATAAATAATAATTTAATATTTATAAAAAAAAATAATCTTATATAAACTAAAAAAAAAGTGGAAATTCATTATTATTTAATCAATTATATTTTTTTTATATTTATTGTTTTAAAGAAAAATAAAACCAATATATTCAAAAAAAAAGGGGTAAAAAAAAATATACTGTTAAGTTAAACGTTTCTGTACAGTGAAATTTTGAAAATTTTAAATTGAAAAAAATCTACATTTTTTTTTAAAACACGAAGAGCAAGCCGTTCATTTGTGTTAATCGTTTATTTGTGTTAATAAGAGATTGGAAAGCTATTTCTCAAAAAAAAAATTCCCAAAGGTTTTGATAACTAAACATGAAAATTGTATCTTAAATTTTTAAGGTTTCAGCGTGGGACCAGGGCAGAGTGACCAAGTCAATAAACCTTTAGACCAAAGGTATCAAAATAATACCAATCCTTCGAAACTATTATTGACGAGAGCCAGAAGGGTGGATGGTATGTCAATCTTTTTGAATGTTTGTGGTATGTTGTTGATAGCTTTGTGGAGGGGTTGGCTTCCAGGTGTAATTTACTACTATCGACACCTTTAGATGATGTTACAGTGTTAGAGCCTAAATAGCGCGATAGAGAATCTCAATTGTTTTGACGAGAGGAACAACCCATGATTGGAACTGGGTAGGTGGTGATGTTAAGATATTTGACAAATATTTTACCCAGAAACAAAAAATTAGGCAAGCTTGAAAATTTTGTTCAATAAGCGCAAAGTTTTATACATCTATATCGAGTCATTTAACAACACTAGATCTGAGTATTTGCTTCCATACGATAATTGAGTTGTGGACATCGCGGTAACGGTTCGGAGATAATCAACGGAGCGGGTAACAATTGGAGAATCCAAGTCTCTTCTTGGGTGTGGGAGGTGAGATGAGATGTTGGACAGTTTTTGTCTCAGGTGTCGAGGGCTAAAGTTAGTTCGTCTTCTGGGATGAGCAATTGGAGAGATAGTGGAATTTCTTGGGAGGAATGATTCGATGAAATAAAGGCCGATATAGATAGGCACAAAGGTAAAAGTGGGTGTCAATCTGGCCGGACATGGCAAAGTGGCTGTTTGAGAACTTCAAGTTAAAAAGCGATTCCGGTAAGTTTTAATAATGTTCATAAGAGGCCAAGGTATATCCTCAGTCGAGAATCTCATGGCATATAGAAATTTTAAATATGTTTTTAAAAAAAATATTTCAAAGAAAAAAAGCTTAAACACGAAGCGCCTATATTATCGCTCTTGAGTGAATTCACTTTAAGTGTCTACAGGTGTTCGTTCCTCTTATAGGAGAGCCTAAGTGAGTGAAATCATCTATGAGCCTTAGAATGAGTGAGAGATGAGAGGAGGGAAATAGGAGGGTGAATAAAGGAATAGATAACGTTTTAAAATTATTTTGGGGATACGCGGGGATAGCTGATATATCCTCAGAGACGATTCCCGTGATCTAAATACCAAGAAAGATAAATCGGATTTTGTGTTTTAAAATCAGCAGAGCTGTTAAAAGATACTTTTTAAATGGTTTTAGATAAAGATACATTTAAAAAGTTATCCAGATACAGATACCACATTTTTTACATCTAGATACTTTAACAACTCTGAAAATCGTAAATTAAACCATGTATATCTCCTAAGCAAAGATAAGACTAGACCTGAGAGGTCTCCCTGCCGCATCCCCCTCCCACCGGTAATAAAACGCGAATAATTGAATTTAAAAAAAAAATGAAATGGTAAATAAAAAAGTGTTAGTTTTCATAAAATGGGTGCTAATTTATTTATTTTTTTAAATTCATTTTAAATTAAAGTTTAAAATAAATCTTGTTAGTAAATTCTTTCCGGCCTATAATATTGAGAAATATATTTTTTTAAAAAAAAACAATTTTTCGATAAGTAATAAATTGTTTAAAATTTTTTTTAATAAGCCGTTTCGCAATTTCAATAAAGAAAATTTCGATTTTAAGTAATACGACGCTTCCGGTTTTGTTAAATTTAAATTTCGTTTATAAAAATAGTAATGAATATGAATAGAATCCGTTTATATATTGAAAAATAAAATTTTTTCGACAAACATTTTATTTAAATAAAAAATATATGTCGTATTGAGATATATGGAATTCATTAAAAATCGAAATCTCTGAAAAAATCTGATTTGCCCCGAAAATGTATTCTATTCTATACAGGAGTGTTACCCAAAAATATGAATTTCGGACAATTTTGCCATGAACTTGTCAACTAATCTTAGAAATGTAAAAGTTGTCCCCTCTTCCTAGTGTTGTTAAAAACGACTCCATTTAGCCGATTTTTATATTAAGATTTTTGGACCAAAATAATGATTACGCGAGCCTCGAGATTTCGTTAACCAGATGTCCAAACTTTCCTGCCATCTATGGAGAAAAAAAATATCTCCAAGCTTACGTAATATTCATGGCCGTAATGTAGGGTTAACCATTTTTTTTAAACAAAAAAATCGCGCCGTTTAACAAAACTATTCTCCCGCTCTTCTTTTCTTTTTTTTTAGATTAATTTTTTAAAGAATATCAATCCTAACCCCGTTTAATCGTATTCTCTTAAAAATTTTAGGCGTCATTTCCTAACGCTCTCCGAGGTAAAGAGATTCAGAAAAGGAGGGAAGGGGAGGGGGAAGAGATGACGTAGACCTAACCTTAAAATATAAAGGATTTCTTTCATTTTTTTTCCATCCCGTTTACGTATCACTTATAAATAAAGTTAATTGCTACATACTGCGTGTTCAAAATCCTGAGACATTCCCATACTCAGTTCCATATCTTCTATTTTTAGACCGCATTCACGACTGACATCTTCCCTACATTTGATCAGAGTCTAATATAATTTTTTTTTTTCGGAAAAAATATATATAATTGTCAAAGACAGGCACAGGTACTATTTGCATGGCCCGACCCGACCCGGATTTTATAATTTCAGATCCGGTCCGGGTACATTTAAAAAAATTAAAATACGGCCGAACCGGGTACTGCCAGTCTCTGGTAATTGATAAGGCATTTTGTTAAAAATATAATTAAATTATGAATGAGAGAGAAATTGTAACTCACATAGAATGAGTAATTTATTCAATATTTTAAAATAGTAATAAATATATTTGGAGATGTCTTATAATCACGATTCGGAAATATCGTAACGTGATACGTGCCCTTATCGAGTTAGCGATGCGGTAAATGTATCAAAGCGACTTTTATATCAGAAGGTAGTTAAAATAAGCTACTTTAAAAGGAAAAATGTAAACGTTTTTAAATAAATATTAGATAGCTTTTGTATTTAAAAATCAAGATTGGGATCCGGGGGTTCGGAAAATTGTTTGGTTGGACATATTGAGACTCCAAACCAAACAGGCACTGTTAAAACCAACCCATTGAATCCGGGGTAATATGGAACCTGGCGGGTTTGGACCCCTTCTATAAAATCGGTTTAGCCTATGTTATGGATAACTATGAAACATTACTGCAAAATCTTGAAAAAAAAGTTGATTTATATTTTGTATCAAAAACCGATTTAACTATAACCAATCAATTGAAAGAAAAAATAATAATATTGATTTTGAAACTTTTTAAAACTATAAAAGTATATAACTAATCTATCCGCCTATATAAAATACGCAAAAGGTTGATAGGAATTTAACCAATTTAATGAAATTTTATTCAGTTTATAAAGTGCAATATATAAAAAAAAAAATTCAAAATGGGACGCTGTATCAAAGTGGTTCCAATTTTTTTACTATTGTTACCTTATGGAAATTCTCTAGACAATTTTCTAATTTTTATTTAAACACAATTGCACGATTACACGTCTCAAGCTTAGAGCGCTGATAATCTCTGTAACTTACTATCTTTTCAGTCCAAATACCACATCAAAGTTAAATAACGTCTGATTTCGCTAACAGTTAATGGGCGGATATTTATTTTATTCGGCGTGCCAATTTGTATTGAATGTAAGAATAACGATAAAAAATTTGGTTTATAAAATTATTAGAGATATCGGTCGGAAGGATAGATTCGTTTTTAATTCATATTCATTTTCAGATTCACCATAAAGCGAGCGAAAAATCCTTAAGATGTATCAACAACATCATTTATTAATATTTTTAAAATAATTATAAAAATTTGGATCATTAAAAATTATGAAAAAATAAAAATTATAGATATTGAAACGTGGCAATATAAAAATATATATCAGAATGAATATATTTAAGGATATATATATAATTTAGAAAATTTGAATTTAAATTATATAAAAAGAATGACGCATAAAACGTGATCTGTTTCACTTTTTATTTAAAGATCTCACTTGAGGAAGAGGATATACTTCAAATTGCTATCCTACTTTAATGGAAACGACAAGAAAAAAAATCTACCAAAGGAAAAAGGGCAAAAAATTTACCAAATCTATAAGGATTTATGAAAATATTGACAATTCCAGCAACTTGCTCTTCTTCTGAAAGCTAATATATTATTTCTGTAAGGTTTTCATAACAAATAAGAACGTGTTTGAATCCAGAAAATGTTGAATCAATTTTTGCATTATAATTACAAATAATATCAAAAAATATTAATTTTATATTTTATTTGATAATAAATTCCCTATCCATAATTTAAATTGAATATTTTTTCTATTCTTGCCATAATTTCCTAGATTTACAAAACATTTTTGTAGGGGTGTTAGCACACTAAAACTGAATCGTTTTTTTTAATTAGATGTTTAAAAATAATGAAAGAATGAGCATATTTAAATTTTATATGAGTGGACATGAGTTAAAAAAGTATTTATAAATAATGGGCAGGTTGGGTAAAATATTTTAGACTAATGGACAGGCAGGTATATTTTTTTTCTTAAACATTGTGTGGGCAGGGTTGTGAGCTAAAAACATACCCATTGAACCTCCAATGCCCTCTAGCAACAATTTCTTTCATTTACTTTTACAACAATATGATCCTATTTTATCCCACATATTGAACCTTTCAAACTTCATCAGTTAAGGCAGTAAAAATTATTTATATTTTATTACAATATATTATTTCAAAAAATTACCTATTCGCATCCTAAACTATTTATTCATGAATCCCCTTTTATATGTGATGAACCTTATATAATATTTTTTTTTAAATGTGATCCACTATCCCTCATTCCAAATAAAAAGTTTTAATAATGGTGCTGGTGAGGAAGAATAGCAAATATTTTATAAAATAAAAATATATACCAGAAAATCAGGATTTGGATTATCGATAGTATGTCCATGCTGGCTTGCATCTAGCATACCAATTGTCATTAGACCTTTAAATTGTAAATTTAAACATTCCGCCATGATAAACTTAACTAATGGAGATACTTTGTCTGGATCTAGCCCATTCTTTTCTACCAAATAAATATAATAAAAAATGTTCTTTTAAATTTTAAGGTAATTTGTTATACAATACCTTGTTCACCACTTGTATTAACTTGAATTAAAATCTTTAATTTATTATCCCCTGACATTTTTGTACTAAGCTTTGAGAGAGCATTATTGACTTGACTTGCTAAAGCTTGTGAATGAATTGTTTGTATCATATATAAATTTGGGACACCTAATTATTATTATGTTAAATTTTATTCAATAATTTACTAATTAATTTGTTGACTTTATTTTTCTGAAGATGGCCTATAAAATGCCATTTAATTTCTTTGCAGTCATTCAATATCTAATATATAGAAAATAAGAATTATAAATATTATATTTACTGTTTGATTGAATGCTTTTTCCAAAAGTTCTTTAATCTTTATATAATATAATTATTGATTTTAAATTGTAAATACATAGTTCTCCCCGAAATCTCTCTGGCCACATTTATATGCCTCAATTATATCCTCAACAGGTTTTGTTTTGCTTGCTGCAATCATTTTAGGTATAGGTCCATGCAACTATTTAAAAGAACATTATGAAAACTTGTTTTAAAAAACATTAATATACAATTTTGGAACTTTTTACAGCGGAATGGAATCGGAATAATACTTCCTTAAGTTTGACAGATATTTCACTCATTTCTAGATGTTAAAGATTAAATGTAATTTGAAAATAAAAAAAGAAAATATTACCTTACCCAAATGTGGGTTTGTGCTGAATTCTGACCAGAGTATAATGAGTTTAATGAGATATAAAATAATAATTAAACGCGATTCCAGGTCTATTTAATAAAACTATTACCCCTAAAAAAAATTGTATCTCTCCCTCCTCCATTTTATTTTGAATTCTTTTGGTTTTTAGTATGATGTACAGAGTCTGAATGACCAGAAGGGGAAGGGGATCCAAACTTTTTAAAGGGGGTAGGGGATGAGAATTTGAGGGGATTAGATTAGGGCATTATCGCTTCATATTATAATAATGGATGCACACCTTGAACTCAAAATCGGTCTCACTTGATTGAAATTAATATTTTTATTGATGCCTTATTTTGGATTCACAAAATCAATGCCAGGTGCGCCCATTCAAAACTCTCCATTTATAATACTAACCTTACTTTGAATCCAGTCACGGGACACTATAGTTGGGTAATAGCTATATGTCGGCTAATTAGCATTAAATTACAGGCGTATGCCGAAGAAAATCCGTTATCATTAAGGCGTTTAAATATATATTAATTTCTTTCAAAGAGTTGGTACATTTTTAAGAAGTACTCCAAGTCAACATTGATAGTTTATGTCTTAAAGCTAGGTTTAGCCGATTTTATAGCCTGCTAATAATTGGCTTAAGTGACGAAAAATATAGTAATTACACCCATCAACTCATTCTTAAAATAACTAAGAAAAGCAATATTATTTTATCATCATAACTCAGTTTATAGACTTGATTAACCACTCCCCCCTCCCCCCATTACATCAAAATCCCGACTGGGCTCATGTAATCTAGCTTCATTCCAATATCGGTGAATTACTAATGCGCATCAAGAATTAAAACCCTATCCTGAATCTTTAAAAATATATATTGAAACTCAACACAAGAGGCTTGTATTGAGAAGCAAGCAACCCGCATTACTAGTGAGGCTGGGGGGAGGAAAAGCCCCTTCAAAATATAAAAAAAATTAATGAAAATATAGCTAATGGAGAAAAAATATTTTCTAAATTACAATCAAATTCCGATATTATTTTGAAAAATAATAATGTTGTATTTGATAAATATAATAAATATTTAATTTGATAATAATATTAAACAATAAAACAAGTTGAATAAAAAATATTTTAGTTTTAAAAACATAAAATTAAAATACTTTTTCATCTATCAAATATAATAATTTTCAATTATGATAGGTTCGTTTTGGAAAACAATATCTAAAATGCAGATCTTGAAGAACAACATACATTGAAAAATACCTTATCATGAGGGTATATAGTTTTTTTGTTTTATTTGTATAAGAATAGGATATATTTTTTTCTACCAGTACTATAAGGGGTCCCTGCCGTTTTTTATTCGCGTTACATTCATATTTGCATTATAATATGGAAATATATTTTTTTATACCCACAGATTTCATTTTTTGTTTCTAATTTTGATTTTCTTTTTGAACTTAATATTTTTAATAAAAATGGCTAAAATATATTTTTCACGGCAGCCGAAACTATAGCTCAAAGTCAGGGAACTATAACTTTAATGAGAAATTCAATTTGTTTTGAGCAATTGGATTAAATTTTGTATCACTTCTTAAAATCCTAATTATATTGAGGCAAAAAAATTTCTAGTAACTTTATCGTTACTAGATTTTTTATTTCTAGAATAAATCTAATTCCAATTGATTGTGGCCTACCATTTGTATAAGCATAGATAATTTCCCATTAAACCATATTTTGTCATGACAATTAATAAATATTAGGGGCAAACTTTATACAAAGTTGTTAACCTATCCTTTCGCATGAACAGTTATATGTAGCTAGCATATATCGAGTTTGTTCTTCCCATAATTGATAGATATAGGACTACAAATATCGTAGTGTAAAGTGAGATTATATCCTATTTATACAGAATTATACATGTAACTGATTTTACTATCCATGAAAGATCTGGCAAAAGAACAATAAATAGTGATCTATTTTTATTATTAAAATAAGATTTAATATGTGTCTTACATTTTTGAATCTTCAATATGTCTTCCAAAAAAGATTATCTATTCTTAGTACACCTCTGATTATTTTGTATGACTGACAAAAGGAAAATACATAGTATGCTATTTTTTAAAATAAAATTATATATCTATACTAAGTCCCATTTTTTCAAGCTTATCATATTACAAAGAAATATTCTCCTCTATTCGTGCTTAATTTCTGATTATTTTGCATGCCCCACGAACGATTCCTAGTACGCTATTTGTATTATTTAGATTCTATATCTATTCCTAAGATTTTTATCGTATAACTTGCCAAATTGCTCCTTCAAACAATATAATATCTATTTGTGATAAACCTATTATTTTGTATATTGTTATTTTAAAAATAATATAAATTTCATTTTATTTTTTCCTGCTATATTTCCCTAAAAATATTTTTAAAAGTAAAATTGATAATATTTTTTTAATTTATCACCTCAATCTCGGAAATGTATTATATCTATACAAAAATTGGTAATATATATAATAGGTTCAAGGGGCTGCAAAGCACAGTTTTAGAAAGGACCTATATTTAATATAATTTTATTTGATATAATAAAAAATATTAACTTTTTTGATCTGACTATGTACGTTGCCGATCGTTTTTTTTCGAATGACCCGTTTATGAGAATTTTTTATGTTATGCTTTTAATTAAAGCATGATTCATCAATAAATAAATGGATTTAACTATAGGATTAGATGGAATTACGATTTTGTGGAATAAATATCACAAAATTATTTTTAGGGCGAGGTTAATCTTCTAAAATTAGCCAGCCATATCCTCTGGACATATAGCAAAATCTTTTTATTGATATTACAGCAGGCTATAAAAGAATACAAATTACCAATAAGAATATAATTTTTAAGGATATAGCACAATAAATCATTAAAAAAATAAAACGTTGGAGATAGAATAATTTGACAATCTATATTCAACTACAAAAGTTATTGAAAATAGAATTTTATAAAACGCAATTAATCAATTCTAAAAATATTAAAACTAAAAATATAAGATTTTTGTAAACATAATTTTATATATTCTTTTAAGGGAAAATAAAAAGTGCAATTATGAATTAAAATATAATATTCAAAGGGAAAAATAGTCTTTGAAAAGAGGAGTTGTATTATTATATAATTTAGGATATAACCAACATCCCTATACCTTTCAAAACCTAATTATACTTCCAGATTCAGGAAATTTCTGGGGCCTAAATATCGAATTCTTGATTAATGTATATCTTACTAAGAAATCCAAATGTAAAAAAAAAACTCATGGTTGAAAGAAAACACAAACCATATGTTTTAACTTTAATGTAATTAAATCTAAACAAAAAAGGACTTAAAAATACTATTTATAGTTTCTATGTCATTTAAGTCTAAACAAAAGAGGGATAAATAAAAACTATTTTTATTTTTAGTTTTTCAAAAGAAAAACCATATTAAATCATCAAAATGTATTATATATTAATAACTCAGCCGAAATAAAAATTTTTTTAGTTGAGCTCCATGAGATTATAAAGGCTAGCGACGCCCCTGCATATTTAATAGGTATAAATTAAAATAATCCTAAACATTAAGCCAATTTAATTGGTGTTAAAATAACCATATGTTTATGATTTATCAATCCTATTAGTTGGATGGATATGGAAAAATATAATCATTAATAAAACATTTAAGAAGCAGCACTTAATACAATACATTAGTGGACATTGAATAGTTCTAAGGCAACGAAATTGAAATGCCTTCTGCCATCTATGTGCAAAATCTCCCTACAATAATTTTGACAAAAATCTTAATCCAACCGTTTAACAATATTACCACTGCATTATATGAGGCGTACACCGCTCTACTATATATGAGCGGATTTAAGTCTAAGTTTTTTTAAAAGGACATAGAGTGAATTTCAATGAGACAATTATTTATCCTTATTCTTGTGTTAATCAGCGTCTACATGAGTAGGGGGAGGGGGTATAAACAGTTTGCTTCCAATTTTTCATGAATGGGGTAGGATAAATTTCTTTGCGGTTTATCTATTAAAATTTTTAATGAAATAGAGCAAATGTATTGAAGTATAAATTAATACCTATATTATAGACGTATTCTAAAAAAATAATATTGCTAAACATCGACTATATATAAATTACACACAATCATAGACATTATTTTCTAAATGAAAGTATTTCTTGATAATTTTCTGCTATCTTGTTAAAGGTAATTTAGAAGGTGGTAGGCATTTTATCAGTAAACTCGTATTCATGCCAAATAATATAAATATTGCATTCATTGCAGAGTTGTTAAAGGATCGAATCAAAAGATCGCCGATCCTGCGATCCTAAATTTGTCAATTTTCTCGGATTTAAGATCCTGACCTTAAAAAATATTTTTAAAAAATGAAAGCATATCTAGATATTAATAAAAGAATTATGAAATCACAAGATTTTACTCAGTCTTTTTTTCATGGGGGATTGAGTAGTTCATCCCCAAACCTTCCTTGTATATGCTGCGCATTTCCATATCACACAAAAATATGATAGCTTACCATACAGGCTTATAACTTAAACTAGTACAAAAAAAATTTTCATGGTAACTGTTTTATATTATTCATTTTTTGAGATAGAGGGTCTAAAAGTATAAAATATAAATATTTAATATAATATACAATAAAACAGTCATCTCTTTTTGTCTACCATCTCTGTATATAGTTATTAAAATGAATGTTATTATTCATCTTTATATTAACCACCTATATTCTAAATAGTGACTAGAAAAATATTAAAAATCTTTAGAAGTGGGACCATTTGATTAAATTTTTTAAGCAAACTCATTTTGCTATTGATAATCGTTCTGCCCAATCCTATCATCAAAAATCTTACACATTTAAGATTAATTACTTACAGCCAAGTAGCTAGGTTTAAAAAGAGGTAATGCTAAATAGTGCCAATTTTTTTAAAACATTCGTTTACTCTCTTTATATATTATTTATGAGAAACTTCGCCTCCATTCGCCATCTCTTCCCGCCAATTATACATTCCTACCATTAATCGCCATGACTCTAACGTCGTTCGGCTCTCATGCCCTTGCCTTCTTAAAGAGCTGAGAAAACGGATGTCTGCTAGGGCCGAGGATCCCGACGAGGGATTCTACCTACGCCAAAGATTAGCCATAAACATAGTAAAATACAATTATCTCAGCTTTATTTTTTCAATATCCGAAACCCCCTAATTGAACACTATGCATAAGATAGACTTTGGCCAATTTGCTGCCTATTATAATGTTAACGAAGTGTACTTGAATCTCAATCAATAAAAAATAGCAAGAAATATAACTTTATATAATTGTGATTTACTAATATTATAATTTTTTTTACTATTATAACTTACCTTGTAATAACATATTATTATAATATATATATGGATTATATATACAATGTTCAGATAAAAGCTTTAATTAATTTATTGTAATTGAATAATATAATATAAGTATAACAATTAGAATATATTTATTTATAATTAAATTAGCCTTTAATAATAAAATTTTTTCTAAATTATCATCATTTAAACAACCACAAATGTTTTTTTTTAATTTAACATAATTATTAAAAATATTTACTGAATCATCATTAGAATAAAAAAAAATATTAATGGAAAGGGCATTTTGGTAACGAGTTTTTCCCATAAAAGGTATCGATCCATGCATTCATTTGAAGGATCTGCATATGGTTGACCCTGTATTTTAGCAACAATTTGTGGCAGATTAATAAAAGGCCAATTAAGCTTAAATTTTGGGTGAATTATTGATGCCAATATTTTACTCTCATCATATAGTGAAGGAAATCTATAATTTTTATTATATACATATGGTTATGATCTTCACAAACAGCGTCTACATGGCAGAAAATTTGATGGAGGCAACCCCCATCCCAAATCTACCCCTACCCCCCTAAAAAAATTTCGCGGCCTTCGGCCGCGATATTTGCCTTAATCAAGAAAATCTTATATTAAGTCACTATTTATACCCTTACAAACATTCAGACCTGCTTTGGAAAAAAAAATTTACAAACTGATAACTATTGTTACTATCCGTTTTCAATTAACTTATATTTAAGTAGGTAGTGCAATCTTTTCATAATTTGATTGATAATCAATTTATTTTCATAAAAATTAATATAATAGTATTAAATGAGATAACATATTTACATTACTATAAAAAAATATCAAAAATTTAGTAAAAAAATATAAGATGAGTAATTTTAAAGAGGTATAGCTTGATTCTATAATTACTAATACCTTTATATTAAGTAAAAAAAACAAAATGAGTAATTTTAAAGAGGTATAGCTTGATTCTATAAATACTAATGCCTTTATATTAATTAAAAACATTCATATAGATATAACTATTATATAAAAAAAATTTTTATGTAAATATAACTTTTATATAAAATATTAGAATAAAGAATATAGTATATTTTGCACAAGAATTATAAAAACATTTATGTAAATATAACTATTATATAAAATATAAAATGAATAGAGTATATTTTGCACTGGAAATATAAATTTTTTTATGTAAATATAACTTTTATATAAAATATGAGAAAAAAATGAATATAGTTGCACTGGAATTATAAAAACATCTATGTAAATATAAGTTTTATATAAAATATTAAAATAAAATGAATATAATATATTTTGCACTGGAATTATAAAAACATTTATGTAAATATAACTATTATAAAATATTTAAATAAAATGAATATAGTATTATATTATGCACCGGACTAGAATGATATAAAAAACTATTAAATTAAATTTACATTATTAAAAAGGCGTATATAATTAGCTGTGAAAAAGATATAACTTATTTTATTAATAATTTAGTTAATCTTTTAGACGTAGATGCAAATCGCGTTATAATGTCGTCTATTTTAAATCTTTCAAAAACATCAATTTCGCTGGATATTAGAAGTAAATTTTCTAAAAAGGGGTCAGAAATTTTATTCCGCATTCTAGTTTTATTTATTTTGACTTTGCTCATCACTCTTTCGGCTGAACAAGAAGTAGTTGGTAGAGTCAATAAATATTTATATAATAAATATAAATTAGAATAAGAATTTAATTTATTTAAAAGACGATATGGTAGTATAAATGAATATTTTATCCATTTTTTTGTATTAATTATGTTATCGTTATTGATATCTTCCTCGGTTTCATCGTTTACAATACCTTTAATTATATATAATTTTAAATAAAATATCAATAAATTACTTTCATCAATATATAACCCATCATTCTTTTTTATTTTCAAAAGATCCTTGCAATAAATGATTGCTTGTGAATCCAAATATAAAGATCGAAAATCATTATATTCACGAGCAATATCTTGAGCATTTAATTGGTAAGTATGACAAATTTGAGATATTTGCCACCCTTCTATTCTATCATTGGCTATAATTCCAGCTGGTGTAAAAAGAGATATTTGAGATAAAAAATTTAAACAATCATAATTAAATCTTTCATTTAAATCATTAATGATTGTATCAAGCACAGGGAAAAATATTTCCCTTTTATATCTATAATGCTAAATAATAATTTTAAATCTTTTTTTATTCAACTTGTTTTTTTTTTGTTTAACATAATTATTGAATGCTGTTTGATCAAATTTGAATATTGATTTTATATTATGCAATTCCGTTGTAACATTATTCTTTTTCAAATAACTGTTAGATAAGGAATGCAATTTTAAAAAAATATTATCCCCATTAGCTACATTTTAAAATTATTTATAGAAATCGTAACTAATTTTAACCTCTTAGTCTTTGTAATTTATTTTTTGTGTGTTGTATTAATTTAGTTACCATAGCCAAATCATTACCAACTGCCTGCATTTCAATACAAGCCTCATGTGTGCATTTCAATATTTCTTTCAAAATAAATAGACTTAATATGAAATCTTCATCCTTAATTCTTGTTAATAATCCATCGGCAATAGAAGAGGTGCTTGGGTCATTAGAATCTTTTAATTCATTTAATGATGCTATAATATGTTCATAAACATCTAAAAAAATTTCTACAGCTTTATAAGATGATGACCAATTTCTAAAAAAAGATAAGTTACATTAAAAATATTATATTTACCTTGTTGTATTTTTTATTCTTTTAAGAGATTTTTTAGACTTTGTCATTTGATATTTAACAAACACTCCTTGACGTCTTACCCCATTCATGAAATTATATAACTCATCCAATATTCCCATTACCTTTTTCATTTCTATTTTGCATCCACAAACATGAGCAACTACTAAATTGAGCCTATGTGCATGGCACCAAATATATATGGCTTTTGGAGCCTCTTTCAATATTAAAGCCTGCATTCCTTTGTATACTCCTCTCATATTCCCTGCACCATCCATACTTTGCCCAACCATATAATCAAGAGGAAGACCAAGATCTTTGAACTTAGAAAAAACATGTTTCTTTATATTTTCCCCGGTGGTTTCTGATGTTGTAAAAACATGGATGATCCTTTCTACAGGATGTGGATGCGGATCATCTTCTATATATCTTACAAGTAAAGCAATGCATTCTTTTTTAGACACATCATATGTTCCATCTAATATGATGCTATAGGCACAATTCTCTTTAATTTTTTGAATAATACATTTTATTATTTTTATCTTAATGACTTCAATAATTTTTTTCACATGGCCATATGACAATAAATTTATATAAGGTCTTGAAATTTTATCTGATTTTTTTCTCCTCAATTTTTCGTTGTTATCAATGTATGCCCGTAAAGTTGGAACCGTTTTTGCCATTAATTTTATGAGGCACATAAAATTACCTTCATTCGAATTAGTGCCCCAAAAGGCTATGTTACATTTTATAAGGTATATAATGGCATCAATAATATTATGAACTATATTACGATTTTCCATTATTATATCAAGCCTATTTGATAGAAAATGATCTTGAATACGCTTATTTGCAAGCCAAGTCATGTTGGTGTATTCACAATCCTTATGAATAGAAGATGACTCATGTCTCTCTAAGTCACGCTTAAAATTTTTCCAATTATTTACTCCAAGTTGAGTCCAAAAAGTATTGGATTTAGGGCCACCAAACATAAGACAATAAAGACAAAAGACTTTGTCTAAAGTGGTGCTATAGGATAACCAATTTCTTGGTTTGAGGGAACCATCAATATTAACCTTTTTATAATAGGATATATTCATGCTCCTATTTAAAAGTAGAAATAATGGATGCGTAAAAATTAATAAAAATTAAATTTTTTAAAAACCTTTTGTGAGTAACAGGATATTGAAATATATTTGAACATGGCTGACATGGGCCTATGGAAATTATGAAATTAATCAAGATATTTGTCATTCTAAAGAATATGAAATGAAAAGGGTCATTAGGCTCCTTTTTTTTATATAATTGAATAATATTTGGGCCTTTAATGTTTGAAATATTTTGGCTTGCATTGGGATTGATAATTGGATGAAAAAAAGATATAATTGGGGAATTTTCAATAACTTTGTGTGTTTGCTAATTATTATTAAAGAGTGTATAGTTTTATTTAAATTAAATACCTCATCATTCAAAATCAGCAGATCACTGGAACTGGGCATTGTATGAGAAGATAATATAATTTGGGAATCTTCAGTAAAAGATTTGTGCTAATTATTAAATAAAGAATAATTAAAATTTGTTTATTCATGAAAATATCTGAATATCCTCATTTATTCCCTTCAAAATTATAAAAGAAATCTTATTTAAATTAAGTACCTCATTATTCAAAATCAGCAGATCACTGGAACTGGGCATTGTATGAGAAGATAATATAATTTGGGAATCTTCAATAAAAGATTCATGCTAATTATTAAATAAAGAGTGGTTAAAATTTGTTTACTTATGAAAATCTTAATTTTAATAAAAATTTTATTCTTAATTAAGATATAGAAAAGTGGAAAATATTTCATAATTTATTCACTTCAGAATTATCAAACAAATCTTATTTAAATTAAGTACCTCATCATTCAAAATCACCAGATCACTGGAACTGGGCATTGTATGAGATAATATAATTTGGGAATCTTCAGTAAAAGATTTGTGCTACTTATTAAATAAAGAATAATTAAAATTTGTTTATTCATGAAAATATCTGAATATCCTCATTTATTCCCTTCAAAATTATAAAAGAAATCTTATTTAAATTAAGTACCTCATTATTCAAAATCAGCAGATCACTGGAACTGGGCATTGTATGAGAAGATAATATAATTTGGGAATCTTCAATAAAAGATTCATGCTAATTATTAAATAAAGAGTGGTTAAAATTTGTTTACTTATGAAAATCTTAATTTTAATAAAAATTTTATTCTTAATTAAGATATAGAAAAGTGGAAAATATTTCATAATTTATTCACTTCAGAATTATCAAACAAATCTTATTTAAATTAAGTACCTCATCATTCAAAATCACCAGATCACTGGAACTGGGCATTGTATGAGATAATATAATTTGGGAATCTTCAGTAAAAGATTTGAGCTAATTATTAAATAAAGATTAATTAAAATTTGTTCATGAAAATATCTGAATATCCTCATTTATTCCCTTCAAAATTATAAAACAAATCTTATTTAAATTAAGTACCTCATTATTCAAAATCAGCAGATCACTGGAACTGGGCATTGTATGAGATAATATAATTTGGGAATCTTCAATAAAAGATTTGTGCTAATTATTAAATAAAGAGTAGTGAAAATTTTAGGCAAATGACTTATTTTATTCTTAATTATAATATATAAATTTTTTTTTAACAAAAGTTGAAATATTTAAATATTCTTATAATTTATTTCCTTCAAAATTGATAAAGGGCATAATAAAAATGTACCTATATATTAAAAATCTTATCTTTAATAAAAATTAAAAGTATTATGCTCAAATTATAGATGAAGAATTGGTTTCTACTAATTCACAAAATTTAAGGTTATTTTTACTTATATTTATTGTCATGAATTAAAATAATATATATAAAAAATTACTTTTTGGAAGTAAGATGTTATTGATTTTTTTTGTAACTTGGTTTCAACCCCATTTGTGATATTGAATGGAATATCTTTATTTAAGGATACCCAATTATTATCCTTTTTGATAGCTATCTTTGTAAATTTGATATCAGATAACTTGACATGAGGATGTTTATGTTTATAATGGTTATTTATTTTGTCACTTCTTATTTTAGAAGTTTTACAATTAATATAGTCACATTTGACTTTATATATTGTTTTGTTACTTGGCATCTAGAATAAAAATGAAATAAATATTTAGATAATATTTTTTTACTCACTGATGGCCATCAAGAATGATGGAGAATCATAATTTTATCCTTTATTTGACGGTGGATGGCTGAATCTTAAAATTCTCCTATCTTATGAGGTGTGATTCAGAAATTAAATTTATATTTGTTTAAATGAGGGTGTAATTTTAAAATTTTCCAGTGGTTTTACAAAATATAATAAAGAAATATATATTTAGATATTTTAATATATGTGCACAATAAATTTTTATTCATTTGTATTATATTTTTAATCTAAAAAATATATTAAAATCTTTTAAAATAAATTCTTATTCATTTGTATTTGTAATTTATAATCAAAAAAATATATTCTAGACCCTTATTGTTTTTAAATTAAAATTCATAAATATACACTCTATTAACATATTTTATAAAAATAATGAAAAATTTACTGATTCAATCATCATCATATAAAGGAAATTTATTATGCACCCATCATTGAATAAAGAAGAAAATTCTGATTACCAGTCATTCATAATGGACTATCAGCTATTAACTTATATTTTTGATAATGTTTTCTTAAAAGATTCCTATTATATTATATGTAAGCTTAATGCATGGTCACAAAAAATATAATATTTTTTGTTATTTATGCCAAAACAATCATGGATCAATATTTCCTCCATTATACACTTCACAATTGATTTCTTTATTTCTTAGTGTCCAACAATTTTTAGAAATGTATGATGCTTTGAAATCATAGTTTCTTTAAATTAACAATCCTAATAAATTTTGCAAATAATTGAAAACAGGCATATTTGTGATTTGCCCATTCATTTATCTTCAAATAAAGTCTGAGAAATGATATATTTTAATCATTGAAATTAGAGACCTTCACTGGCATTGATTTCTTCATCCAGCCTAGGTCATAAGTAAAAATAATTTTCAGGCCCAGTTCATGTTTAATGGAAATCCAAACCCAAACCACATCATAGGTTTCAAAGATTATTCCCAAGCCATATCCAAAAATTTAATTTATTGTTAACAAAAATAAACAATATTTCAGTATATGGAATCACTTTGTCAATTCATTTAATTGAAATCTTTTCTTAAATCAATAATCAAATGAGAGGAATAGATTATCTGTTCATTCTCCCAAGATTTCTATAAATATTTAGAAAAAAGGCCAAATATATTATGGAAAATTTGATGTTATATAAAATTTATCTAATAATGAAATAAAAAATTTATCAATTCTTTTAACAAATTTTTTATCACACAATGGTTTTCACCTCTCACTTATAATTTTGTATATAATTTACACTTACCTCAAAGAATCATTTATCATAAATAGAAATCAATTATGGGTCCAACCTGATTGCCTCACAAAAATGTGGTAATATTTACCCCATTGAAAATGATTATTTAAAAAATTATTAGCAAAAATAATTGCCATGGTTCAAAACCCAGATAACTTATTAAGTATACATATTAAGATTAAATAAAAATAGCTTCATTCTTTATTATATTTATTTATCTATCATCAAATTAAGGAAAATGCAATTATATGCTTAAAAAATTACCTTTTTAAAATCCAAAAATGTTTCTTTATATTGTTAATTGAGTAGGATTATCTTATCATAAAAGGGATTCTTTATTCAAAAGGTCCTTATTATAAAAAAATATATATTGATAATTTAAAATTGATACTGTGAAAATCTAAATCCCATTATGTAAATGAATTTTCTAAAAATTTAAAAAAATAAATATAGTGTATAATATTTATAAATTGACAGATATCTTTTCTTTAATTGACATTTTTCAGAAAATCAACGATAATCATATCGATTATTGGATTTAAAAATAATAATACAAGTCAAAAATTACCCTCCAAAAATCAATACCTACCCCCCAAAAACAAATGCCTACCCCCCAAAAATCAATATCTACCCCCCAAAATTAATACCTACCCCCCAAAATGCCAATATTTTTTGGAGGCATTTGTCTCCTACCCCCCCGGCCATGTAGACACTGTTCACAAATAATAAAAATTATATAATTCTAAATGCCTCTTTAGGTTTGAACTGAAAATCTTTGAAGAAGATATTTTGTTTTTGCATAAAGAGCATTTTGCATAGATCATTGTATGGTTACTCCATCCGTTTTACATAAAGTAAAATACTTACGTAAATTATGAAATGGTAAAAGATTCTCATCGTACACATCAATAGAAGTAGATATATCATCTTCTAAATCTATAATGGAGTACATTATTAAAACCTAAAATTTATATTATAATATAATTAATAAATATAACTTGTTCTTACAAAAAATTTTGGAAATTGATATAAAATCTGGTTCACTTCTATTTTCTTTTTAAAAAATGGGTAAAAAAATCGTAAAAATTTATAATTTTTAATACTTTTACATTTAAACAATTATAAATTATATGAAAATTGTTTCCCAACAAAGTCTCTAAAATTTGTACGAGATCGATCTTTGATCTTTTCTATTTCTAATGGAAAAAGGGCACTTCATGATGATAAAAATATTTATATTATGCTTGTTTTCAATTTCACCGCAACTAATCTATCTTATTTTAATATCATATTTTCTAAAGATGCCAAAAATCAATTTGACTAACTTTTGTGCTACTGCTGCTATATTATTAGAAACATAGCTACAACCAGAGACATCGAGTCTCATATTTAAAAATACGATAAATGATTTTTTACAATGACCCCTACAAATCCTGCTCTAAGAAGCAGAGCCGTAGCCAGGAATTTTCAGTTAGGGAGGCCAGCTGCTTACTTAGGGGTGCCACTATTTTTTTTAAATAAAACAAATAATTAAGCATTCATAAAAAATTTTTGCTATTTTTATTAAAAAATTATTAATGTTATATGAATACAAAATAATACTATAATATGAACATACAAAATAATACTATAATTTAATACGACGATTTTTATTTTTAAATTTTAACATAAATGAATTAAAGAATAAATTTTGTGTTAATTATTTTTCATCCATCAATACTAAATTTTGCTTACTTTGATCTTTCATCGACCCTCATGCTCGATACAACTCTCTTTATTATAGGGAAAGAAGCCACACAAGAAGATAATGGCTGCTGAGTAGCATTTATACAATTATCTAAATGCATGATGATATTTTTTTTATACATAATATTTAGGATATTTTCGAAATTATGTGTTTCTTTAACTTCTGCAGCTAATAATCCTTTAGCTATTTTCATTTCATGATGTAAAATTTCCATATTTAAGTTTAATAATTATTTTAATCGGGCCATTTTGTCCGATATAAAATAATCACTATCATAGGGGAACAATGCATTAAAACTTGATAAAAGATTATAATCATCTTGTGAAAATCTATCTAATAAATTATCAACAAAGTAATCAATAATTCCTTTTTAAAGAATTCCAATTGGAGTCTTTCTCACAATCAAATTATAATTTGGTCTCGACTAAAAAATGTTGAAAATTTATAGGCGTTTTACGTATCCTTGATGATTTGTGGGGACTGGGGAGTGTGATTAAATTTTGCTAAAAGTTTTTCAGCCTTTATTCTAATCAATTCAATAGAATTATTGCTTCTTATATTTTTAAAATATATTTATAGTAAAATCAATACAATTTTTAGCATCCACTTGATAAGTACCTACTGATTGTAGATACTTATATAGTGGTTTTATTGTTATTAATATCTCATAAATTATAATGGCTAATATAACGTAATTTATATATTGAGATAAATAACCAGAGGCTTCGACAGAATCTTAAGTGGAAACCTCTGAATTAAGAGTTCTATTAGAAAAGTAAACTAATATTTCACCAATAGCCTCAAAATTAACATAAATGATGCGAGATGTTTCTAAATGACCCGTTTCTCTTAAGAGTATGGTCTGCATATTTAAAGGATACGTTAAACCGCCTAAAAAATTATGCATTGCATTGAGTAAATTAAAAAAAATTAGAAATGATAACAATATTATTATACCAATTTTAAACCACAAGATGCAACATGTGGTTGTAGCAATGTATAAGGAACTTTTTTATTAATTCTTTTTTGAAGTAAGGTTTGCACTCCTCCATTTCGGCCAGACATAACGTTTGCACCCACCATCATATGCCTGGTTTATCATATTCGTTGAATTAATATTTAACTCATTAAGTTGCTTTAAAATGCAATTAGTAATGCTTTCAACAGAAAGACACTGTAAATTAATAATCCCTATTAAATTTCTGGAGAAATTTTTCTGGACTTCTCCAGAAAAAAATGTAATTAATTATGCTCAGGTTTTCACAACCTGATGCATCTTTTGTCACATCAGCTTTAAGACAAAAAAAAAGGCATCTATCTTTTGTTATATTTATCTGAAATATAATCCAAGTACCATATCTACCATAATAGATATTACTTCGTTTTGAATCTGGGTGATGTGTATCGCGTATTTTTGTATATAAATTTCGTAATTTTATTTGATTCAGGATCTTTTTGGGTGGTGTATGAAAACATTGCTATAAATAGTCCAGAAAGAATAAATTATGTTTTCTACATTTGTTGCATCCGTAATTTTTGTTGAACCAGTCCCACGAAAAGGTTGCTCCTGTATGTTAAGAAATATCATGAAATCTTGATTTAAGATCGTAAAGATCACGGTTAATTAGTTGGCTTACCAAAATTGTTGTTATCTCACTATTTTCTTAATAATGCGAAAATATTCACCGCTGTTTTAAATAACTGGTTATATCGGGCTTATATAATATAATTTTGTGTTTAGCAACACTGCACAATATTACCAAATTTTATATAAATTTAATAAGAACCTTTTTTATTTTAATAGATATTTACGAATCGGTATCAATCTTTCCTTAGATTTGATATATATATATTAAGCCTTGAGTTATCACTTGATTAGCTTCAGAAAATCCCCATTTTTTATGATTTGCACCCAGATCTATATCAGAGACCAGATAATAATATTGTGATTGAACCATAATAAATAAAATAATTATCATTGAAATAAGTACAATTTAAACGTTATAAATAAGAGCCTATATAATGTTATACACAAACACACATAAAAATGATAAAATATGAATGAATGATGATTTATTATTGGATAAAAATAAAACAGGATAGGAAGAAATTTAGAAACAAGACATGTTTTTTTAAATAAATATTTAAAATTTATTTTAAAAATATAAAAATAATCAATTACAAAATTTATTTTTAAATTTGGGGGGCCGGAAAAATAAAATTTATGGGGGCCAAAGATTTTTTCTGGGGGCCAAAAATATTTTTTTTGAAAAAAGGGGCAGCTCCCCCTCTCCCCTTCCCTCCGTGGCTAAAGTCCTGAGCAGAGTACCCCAATGAAAAGAATTAATTATAAACAGAAATAAATAATATGTAAAATAATTATTATTGCGTCTATCTTACCATTACAGAGAAAACAATTATAGTGAAACTTTTACAGATAAAACAATTATAGAGAATGTCGATAACAGAGAATTATTTTATAGAGAATTATTTTATAGAGAATTATTTTATAGAGAATTATTTTATAGAGAATGTATTTTACAGAGAATTTTTTATAGAGAAAACAATTATAGAGATGTCATTTATAGAGAATGTCGTATATAGAGAATGTTTTCGTATCAGGTCAATTCAGCGAAACTTTTATAGCGAAGACAATATCGCGAACTTATTATCGCGAATTTATTTCAGCGAACCCTTGACCGCGAATACTTTATAGCGAATACATTATAGCGAAACTTTGATCGCGAACTCGTTATAGCGAATTTATTTCCGCAAAACCTTAACCGCGAATACTTTATAGTGAAACTTTGATCGCGAACTCGTTATAGCGAATTTATTTCTGCGAAACTTTAACCGCGAATACTTTATAGCGAATACATTTTAGCGAAACTGATCGCGAACTCATTATCGCGAATTTATTTCCGCGAAACCTAAACCGCGAATACTTTAGAGCGAATAAATTTTAGCGAAACTTATAGCAAAACTTTAATCGCCAACTCTTTATAGCGAATTTTCTACCGCGAATGTATGTGCGCGAGCGCATGACTTCGAAAATTACGAATTCATTTTAAGTGAAATTGATATATTCAATATCAATTTACCAACCGAAGTTTCTTAAATCATAAACGCGAATGTTTTAGAATATTTTATTACGTATTGTTTATTTAATAAGCATGTAACATTTATCTGATGTGATACAAAATACATTACTCTTTCTGGTCTCACTCACTCATGGTTGTAAGTATGGAGGGGACATTTTGGGTTAAGTTTTTACCAGAATAAGTTAACCCCCCCCCCCCCCCCCGTGTGCTTTATGTCATAAGAAAATTTTCTGATATACCTTTTTTCCAATCTAGATAAAAAATTATATAGAAAGCTAAGAATTTTTTATTGATTTTCTCAGATTATTTTTAAAAATTATAGAAGATTTTACTGATAATTAATGCCTCCTAATTATAATTTTTAGATAATGCACATCGATATAACTTTCTGATATAATAGTAACTAATTTATTTGAATATTTTGACCTCTCCTTTTTCTTCTTTTCGCATTTTAATAAATAGAAATAACTGCAAAGTTATGATTATCAAAAAAAAAATTCAAAATATTCTATTGGATTACATTGTAATATTTATGAAGAATAAATTATGGAAATAAATCATTAGATCTTCAGTTATTTTAGTTTTTTATTTTTGCTGATTTCACAAGTCTAACTAAACAATATAAAAATTAAAAAAACGTATAATAGTTTTCA